ATCAAGTTTGGATATGCCTTCTTATAGAAAATTCTAGAAAAGAGACAGGTAAGATGAAATTGACAGAAATGACAATGGACACTTAAAGTCAGCATGCTTGATATTTGTTTCCTTCTTTCTCACTTGACATTCCAATCATGTCTAACTCTTGCTGGAATACAAACCTTTGCTACCAATTACTTTGTTTCGGCAGGTCTTATAGAGACAAATGATAGGGCTGTGGCATCTTTCAGCTTTAGATAGAAACACAAATCTCTTGAGGAGCAGAAGCAAACATTAGTGCCCATGGCAGAGGATGCTATGTCCTAGGGAATGCTCCATCTGAGTTTCTAAAATGACAATTTTTTTCTCCTGTCTGTGGTCATTTTGGTCTGTATTTGGAGAGAAACAAGCTCTTGTCACACCTCTGCTGGGATGCAGTTTGATAATTTGAAGCCAATGCAACATAGTTTCCCCTTTTCATCTCCACTTTGTGTTTCATTTATACCTTTACCTCAGCTAATCCCAAAATGTTGGGGCCCATATTAAGTTCCTTCAATCAGGAAAATTAGATTTTGGGGGGAATATATTATCTATCCCTTAGTCTCAAGAGCAAGCCATTGCTTTTTTTTTTTTCTTCACGATGAATACAAATTGCACTGGCACATAACAAGGTGATAAGCTAAAAATGATTTCATCCACTAAAAAGAAAGGATAATTGTATAATATGATAGAGGTGCTAAATATTGCTACTGTGATAATCATATTACAATATAAAAATGTATCAAATGAACGCATTCTACACCTTACATTTACACAACATTATATGTCAGATATATTCAATTAAAGCAAAAGCATTAACAGTCTTTTGGTGTTTGCCCCATTGATAACTTTCTCAAAGTTATGAATAGATTACTTAAAAGCTGTAAGTTATTCTAATACTGCAAATTCTACTTCTTGTCCTGGGATGTTTAAAAATGATTATTTTGGAACAAACATGCCAAAGTAAACATAAGTATGAATAATAAAGTCTGGATGAATGAGGGGCATCATCTCAGAACACACATTCATTCAGACGCCTTTTCATACGGACATTTTTCATCTGTGCCATCCATGCTCACTGACTGATGAATCTCCCTGTAATCTCAGACTTAGGTTGACAGTTACCAGGCAAAGCCACATCTAACTTCGGTTTTAGCCACCTGAAACCTGAAAGGTCTTCCTGACTGGGTGTCTTGCTTAGTCAAACAGCATAAAGTGAAATCCCAGAATTAAAAAATGTAGGTAATTGAATGTAATGTTCACAGTGTTTAATAATTTATGATTCAGGAATAAAATTTGATATTTCTCAAGCAATGAACTTAATCAGGGAAAGTGACTTGTGACTCATTCTAAACTCTGACAAGTGGGAGGTAGAAAATCCAGTGCAACAATAAGGAATAAGCAGTTTGACCATTTCTTTCAGGTAGAGTATGCCACAGAGCAGAGATGGGGAGAAAAAGACAAAAATAAAATTAAGAATTTAATTGTAACGGTCTCCCCTTTTATCCAAACCCATTTATCTTGTGATAGATCAATTGTGCCTTTTTCTACCTCAAATAATTTTATCTACCAAAGTTAATTCGTTTTGCCAGTTATAATTTGCTTCTAAAGCAGTTCCCTTTCAAATTCATATTCTTGGAAGGTGGTTCATAACAGGGAAATTAAAGGTAAGATATCAAACCTACAAAGGTTAAAATGGAGATGTAAAGATTTTATCCACTCCTTTAAGATGATAAAATGACAAGCTAAATAGCTGAATATACACATTTATAGTTCTTGGGCCTGTATTATTTAACAACCTATAAATGAAGTTTAAACATTTTAAATTAGCTTTCATTGATTTTTGGAGAGAGAGGAAGAGAGAGGAGAGAGAGATAGAAACATCGATGAGAGAGACATATTGATTGGCTGCCTCCTGCACACCCCACACTGGGGATCGAGCCTGCAATCCAGGCATGCGCCCTGACTCAGAATCAAACCAGCTACCTCTTGGTCCATGGGTCGATGCTCAACCACTGAGCCACACAGGCTGGGCAAGGTTTAAAATTTTAATCATACTTAAATTTCCAAAGTAAATGAAAAGTAAAAATTATGATTTCAAATCTCAATTTAAGCTTTATAAACAGGGTGTATATGTTTCCCATTGTCAATTCTACATGTATGATCATCGATATTTATGTAGGTTTATGTAAATAAACAGTTATGCATTTATATGTCCCAAACTCTGTTGGACTTTGTTAGAAATCAAAGAAGAAATCCTTCTTGATGAATGAAGTCTAGGTGGGCCAATTCTTTTTATAGCGTAAAGAAAGCACACTACTGAAAAACCACGTTCTTTGGAAATAATTTTTTAAATTGGCTGCACATGTGTGGCTAGACAATTTCATTGCGAGCTAAAGAAAGATGATTAACTCTGGCAGTTATTCAGAGGACACACAGAAACATTCCACATTCATTGTATCATGATGCGTTTGCCATTGCTTTCCTCCAGTGGCAAGAACATGCTTTTAACCGCAACACTTTCTACATGTTTCTTTAAAATCTTAAAGTTTTCGTTTTAAATAATCCCCAACATACAAGGTTATATCTTAATCCTTTATCTCCACACTAGTTATGTGCATGACTTCATGTTCTTTGATGATCAGTCATGGTTCATATGTTTGTATAGATCCCATATAGATTGTACTCTTGCATATTTTGACCCTAGAATAATGAGAACTAAAGCTACACTTTAGTTTTAAAACTAAAGCTGATCATTAAAGTTAAAGGAGCATGATTTTTCTGACTCAATTTTCAGGTTGGGGTATAATGGTCTGGGTGAGGTAAGGAAAAGAATCCACGTGATGTAGGGTTGATCAGCTTGGATACTGGTTTAGAGCCAGGAATGCACTGATTGTATCTTTTTGGAATACACATAATAATAAAAAAATTAAGAGATTATAGTACAAAGAGGCAGCTGAAGGCAATTTAAGCACTTACATTTTTAAAACGAGAGTATCAAGGGAGTACCTCTATTTGAGAAGCAGTAAGGCACACATAAAAGAACACGTTTCAGTAGATTTTTATAATACACCACAAAGATCCTGACCTGAGATCGTGGACTGTGTGACCTTGGCAAAACACCTAGTTTCTCTGTGTATCTGTTTTCTAGGTTAAATAATATGGAGTCCCACCCAGCTCTAACATGTGTAGCATTTCTCTGTTACTAAAACAGAATCAGGAAGGGCAACTTACCAAATATTTTAACATTTTCAAGGTACACAACCCAAAATAATGACAAAAACAGACATTAGGTCCATTGTGTATAGACCTAGTAAACCTGAAATGCTGAGACGAACAGCTTACTTTTTCAGTCGTTTTCTGAAAAGAAACACACATTCCGAATGCAAACTTGTATCTATTTTATAGATATACAATAAAGTAATTACAAGCGCTAGGAAGCAAAAAATAAGCCCCAAATAAAAACTGTATACATTCTTTAGTTATTTCAGAAAAAGGAACACATTATTATATTCAAATCAGCGAGAACTATGCCTAAATTTTTAATAAAAGGAAAGCACAGTTGAGGATTTTGAACTCTTGTTGGTAACAGGCATGGAAGCATTTGGGCAGATGCCCCCCCCTTCCCCTTCTAAATCTCCTTAGCTATAAAGTGGACCAATATTTACTAGCAAAGAAAAAGATAAAAGTAAGTTTATTAAATTTCCCAGGAAGCAAACTTCAGCTTTGTGCTTACAAAAATTAGCTTAAAAATGTGTGTGTATGTGTGTGTGTGTGTGTGTGTGTGTGTGTGTGTGTGTGTATCTCAATGTCAAAAGCTTTAACGAGGCCTGAAGTCTCTGTCACTGCAGCGCTGAGCTGGAGCTCCCGTGCCTTCCATTACTTTCACAAACGCAGGTTCATAGATTTACCAGGGAAGGGTGCTGATTCAGTGACTACCCGGAGGGCTGGCCTGCTGGCAGAGCCCAGGAAAGGATGGGCAGAGACAAGATGGCATTGAGCTGCAATGCTGAATCTCCCTATTTTAAGGCGGGCTGGGTGAGGGGGAAGTCCTGAAGCAGGCCAGCCGACCTGCCACTTTTATTATGATCATCACAAATTCGCCTACTTGCTAGATTTACTGCGAGCTCTTTGGGGGTAGAGAGTGTGCTGTTCTTCGCCACCTGGCAGCACAGGGCACACAGTAAGCGCACACTGTAGATTTATAAAAGGAATGAATAAAAGACCTCCATCTGCCTTGGGGCCTCCTTCCCCCCTTATTTCATGGGTTAGGAGAACTGAGAAGGCTGGGAAGTTCCTTACTGGAAACTTCAATGGCTCCTTTGCGTTTTCCTCCTCCCACTTATTCACACCGGGAAATGAATTACTTTGATCTTACCCTCTGTGAGTGTCTGATCTCACAGTTCACTGCCTGGGACCTCCCCTCGCAGGAGAGCAAGGGCTGGGGCTGTGCACTGCTGAGAGCGTCTGGTGTGTGTGGGGGCGGGGCTGACAGACCAGGGCAGGACAGGGGGATTCAAGAGGAGTTATACAGGGCCAGAGTGGTTACCTTTACCGAGATTCCACATTGCAATTTTAGAGGAAGCTGACAGCACAGGCTGCAGGGTGTTTTTGTAAACATTTAGCACCTGGAAACACGCAGCAGCTTAGTGATGCTGGTGTCCTGTGGCCAAGCCTGGAAGCTGCACTCCCAGCTTCTCCCAAGTGACTCACTTGCACTGTATGGTCCAGATTAGCTGTGCTAATGAAGGAAAGAGAAAGGCCTCTCTGGCCCCTTTCTTCCCCTTGTCCTCTGTGTCATCCGTGGTCTTGCGTCGCTTTCAGAGTTTCCTGCTGCACAGGACACCTAGAATACGTTCCCCGCTCCTCCCCACCAGCCTGCCATGCCAAACGTCTTAATCAACTACTACCCCCTCTTCCAAGCTTGGAACACAGGCTTTGCACACATAGCTCCCCTTGGGGCCTGGCAAATTACCTACCCGCCTTCTTCTGAATATTTATGCCCAAATGCCAGGATGTCGGACGCCCGTCCACTCCCATCACAGACAACAACCGGCACGGGCGGGGTGTCTCGAAGGTACTCCAAGACAATGGAGATCACATTGGGTCCTCCTTCCACAATGAGCGCCACCACCGGCACGCCTTGTCCGATTCCTGCATTAAAAAAGGAAAAGAAAAGGAAAAAAGGGAAAAGAACACAAAGCCAGCAAACCAAAGAAACAAACAAAAAAAAAGAGAAACAAAAAGCACAAACTAAAATTACTGAGCACAGGGGGAGGTAACAACATATGAGGGGATAAAATATTGAGCGAAAATTTACAGAAAACCCTTTAACCAGCAAGTCTATTTGGCTTGGCCTTTCCCAACACCCCCAGGATGCGGGGGTCAGTTATGGCCTGGATTACCATACTCTACAGGCGAGGGCACAGGGGAAGTGGAGAGAAGGGAATTGATTAGTCGATGGAGCACTGGGCCAGCAGCCAAAGATGGAAAAATAAAGGTGATCTTAAGCAAATCTTGTATGAATTCAGTGGTTCAGTGTCTTATATGAAAAACGAGAAGTTGAAAAATGGCAGCTTCCTGAAGTCATCAGAGTGATAAGGAAATGCCTAAATGGTTCATTTTATTAAAGACTATGAAAATCAGCAGAGGTAATATTTGAACTGGTGAAATCAACTGGCTAAAAAATGGGTTTATTTCTGACCATCAATGATCAGTCTGATTATTAATTCTTACCAGCATACTCATCATAATAAGGTGCCAAGGGCATGGCATCTGCCATCTGCCCTCATTACATCCTTCAGTATTGAGCAAGGTACCAGGCACTTGATGGCTGGTCAGTAAACATTTGTTGAATTCAGTGGTTTCACAGACCTTTCTTTCTTTTTTAAAAAAATAGTTGACTGATTTTTAGCGAAAGAGGAAGGTAGCCGGGGAGAGAAATAGATTGAGCCCACAACCCAGGCATGTGCCCTTTATTGGGGATTGAACTGTCAACCTTTCGACCACGGATGGTGTCCAACCAAGTGAGCCACACCGGCTGGGGCTCACAGACCTCTCTTAAAATATTTAAGCTACTTATGCTGAACCACAAGACATTACTATTTGCAAGTAAATATTGCCTGAACATCAGCATTTACATATGCTTCAATCTAACATATTAAAGACAAATATTCATGAGAGACATGAGAAAAAAAATGAATTCATTTTCTTTTTTTTTTTTTGGTACCTGCCCCTAGTGGGAACTGAACCCAGGACTCTGGTCCACAGGCAGATGCTCCATCGGCTGAGCAAAACCAGCCAGGACTCAAATTCATTTTCAAGTGTCATGTCAAGTATCGTCATTCTTCACTGAATAACTTCCTTTTATTCAATTTGGTACCACACTGTATTTTCTCATTCAGCTTTCTCAGAAGACTCAGGTAATTGAGCACGATCATACTAATGACATGGTTTTGTAGGGGACACTAAGCAGAACTAATCAAGAGTCTGTACCATGTCTGTAAATAGGAACTAAAATGAGGTTTCAAGTCATATCGGTTCTCCCTCTTCCCTCCTCTGCTATGGTTTTATCTTATATCAAGAAACTGCTTCCCCATGAGAAATAATGGTTTGGGGCTTGACTTCTCGCTCCATTAATAAGAGATTTTACTTGACTTGTGTGTGACCTGCTTTACTTCTAAATCAGGGTTTTCATCTTACAGGAGTGGTCCCCAAATGCCAGTTGTGCACGAATGGGTACTGTTTTAAATCTACATTTTAAAAGTGTAAAAAAACGAAAATTGTTGATCAAGGCAAGATGCCAAGATTTCTTTTTGTTCCCCAGAAGGAATTGGGGGAGCGAGAGTGGGACGGCTCATGGCCCCATCAGAGTTTTCTGCGCATGGAGGTTTGAGTTACTCCTTCGAACCCAAGGAGAAGGAAGTGAAAGGCCATGCTGATCCCCCTTGACCCAGAGCCTTTCACGGCCCCCTAAAAGGTTGCTTCAAAGCTCTGTTTGGGTGTCTGTGATGAAGACCCTGTTCCCATTGCTGCTGACTATGAGGATTAAGTAAATTCCCCTTTGGAAGATTAACCTCTAATCTGAAATGTGAACACAGCACACTTCTTCGGGAGGAGAATTTGCTGCATAAAAAATGCCCATCCTGATAGAGTTGTATTTTAATGTTCTAAGCCAGTTGATAAAGGATTTCTCGAAGCACTGTGCTAACTTCCCTCTCTGTTTGGTTTCAGCACATGCTCCCATATCATTTCTTATCAAGAAACACATTTTGATTCTTGAGCACTGATTCCGTCCGTGGGATCTTGACTCCAACGCACAGATGGACTGTGATGTACTTAGTGTTCTCACAGAGGAAGGAGTCCTAGAATGGACTTTCTAGAATGTTCCAGTGATTTAGTCCACCAGACAATAGGCAAGATGGCTGGAGACCTCGCTTCTCTTTAAGAAGATACATAGGTACAAAGAATCAATTTTCACAGGATGACTTGAGAGCAATAAACTGTCACTTGTTTTCCTGCCAATGTATTTTTCAATGAATCAAGTTGTTGTAGCCTCTGGAAATACAGAGGTTCAGATTTCCTATATTTGGAATGAAGCTGTTATCAATTAAAATGATACCCCCCCAAATATATAAACACACACACACACACACGCATGCACACCCATATAATACAGATTTCCTATATTTGAAATAAATTAATCAATTAAATGTTATCAATTAAGTGATGAAAAACTATACTAATTCATATCTATTCATATATATATTTCAGTGCTATAAATTGGATGAAGCAAAGGCTTAAAATATTATCTAGTATTCAATAAATATTGAATATATCTAATATATCTGTGCCTCCAAATTCTCTCCTATTTCCTTCAGTGATAATACATTTGTTCCAGAGCAAATGAAAGCCCCTATAGCCTAAAGTAAAAGCATTTTTAAATTTCTTAGTTATGGGTGGTAGAGAATGAGATGATGTCTAAAATACCATGCATTATGTAAATTAGCCTTGCTAATCTATGGTAACATTAAGCCTTTCTATCAACACACACAAATACACACACACACACACACACACACATCTATACACACATATCACCTTTGTTTCTGACAAAGAAAATATCAAATAGCAGTAACCTAAAACAATGGTTCTTAGCCCATGTTTTAGAGACTAGGGTCTTTGAATACTTTTGTGAATCTGATGACAGCTAGTGACCTGTTCTCCAGGAAATAAAAAGATTTCTATGCAATTTCAAGGGGTTCATGGGTCCCTGAAACCTATTCATAAACAACTTGCTAATGGACCTCTACATAACCCCACCTGAAATGAAGCACATTGATGTATCTGCAAAGAGCATTGGTATGTGTTCTTTTTTTATCCTCACCCGAGGATACTTCTCCACTTTTTGTTCAGATAGAGTGGGAGGGAGAGGAAGAGAGAGAGAGAGAGAGAGAGAGAGAGAGAGAGAGAGAGAGAGAGAGAGAAATCGAGGCGAAAGGGACACATCAAGTGGCTGCCACCCGCACGACTAACCAGGGCAGGGAACAAACTGCAACTGAGGTACGTGCCCTTAGCAGGAACCGAACCCGGCTCTCTCTGGACTGCAGGCTGACGGGTATGTGTTCTTTACGGAGCTCACTGAGGCCTGTGGGACAAGTTCTGGAATAGGTTTTCAAACAAAACTCTATGCCCAGGGAAACTATATCATGTTATTGCTGCCCATTTCTATTGATTGGCTTAACTTTCCAGGATGAAGCACAATCTATAGGCTGTCTCTCCTTCCTCCCTTCATTTCTCTGACTTGTTTTTGTTTCTTCTATTCACACTTTCTTTTCTAAATTACACTTTAGACATAGAGCATCACATTTTTTTCTATAGAAATTAACAAATTTACAAAATAATATCTGTAGTATATAACTTCATTAGTAAAGGAAAAGCTTTTTAAAATATTAAGAATGGTATATTTTTTAGTTGTCAACATAAAGAAAACATTTTGGGAATCTACTGCAGATCCAGGGCCCACTACCATTTCTTTTATAAGAAAAAAAAATCAACATAAGTTCCTTTGAAGATCCTCACAAATGTATGCCTTGCTCAGCTAAACCCACTGACCATTCACAAAAATACTTTAGACTCACAGTTTCAAAAATATGATCTCTGTTACTTAGGGAAAAGGTTTTATTTTATCTAGATCCCTTAGGGATCTTTTTGTGAATACTTGTTCTTTTAGTTTTGAGGGAAAGTAGGTTAATTCCTTAGTTTATTGCAATAATTTTTTATTTTCTAGCAGAATCAAAGACTTGCAGTCGTTCTCAGAAATTTCCACTAGAATTTAGCTTTAGAGCAACGCAGATTGCTTAAGCAGGAAGAGGCAAGATTCCTGCACACTCCAGCTTTCGCAGTTTGGGAACTGGAAGCAGTGTAGCCTACAGAACTGTCAGCATAAGTCGTGGATTTAGTAGCTATACTCTACAGGATTCAGGTTGACCAAGGGCTCTCAAATCACAAATTGAACCCCGATTGATCGTGTTTTGTAGAAGATAACCTCTTAGACTTTTGTCACATGTTGTTGTGACTGCTATGCAATTCATTGGACTCCCAATTAGGCAAAACTGTCAAAACTGGCTTAAACAAAGATTGAGTTGGGTGTTGTGAGGAAGGGCAGTAGCAGAAATAGAAGATTGTCTTAAAATTCTAAAAGGGCTTTTTTCTATTTCCCTCTCTGCTGATATAAAATCATAATCTATGATCAGTGCAGACACTTGTGGAAACATTTGGTGTGTTGTAGTGCAATGCTTAGATGACTGAGAATTTTGATCAAACTAAATTAACACTTTGGTTTTATGTCAACATCACTATATGTGATCCAAAATGCCTATGAGCCTAAGGAATAATTTACTTGCTGTTGGAAAATGGTTCATATTGACACAGAGCTAGAATGTATTAGATTGATCTTTAGCTAAATCTTAATGACCAAGGCCACAAATCATGTGATTATTGTAGTGTAGGCCATTTAGAAAGGAGGATTAGCGGTGACTTCCTGAAGATCTTGAGCAATTCAAGACTGTCAGTGGTGGGTGGACATTTCTGTCTAACAGTTAAAGTCATGTAGCAATAATAATAACACAATTAATTCACTGGCCTTGCCAGCT